AAAAAGCTTGGATATTCTTTCAATAACTTTTGAATGAAAAGAGCTAGAGATCTGCGGTTTTCGCCATTCGACAGCCAAGACTTTAGAGCATCTTCACATAAGCGAAAAATATTTGGAAACATTTTTTTGAATTTTCGGTTTTCTAGAGAATCTTTAGAAAACTGATTCATAACTTGAAAAGTTAAACTGGCAGCATATTGTTTTTTTTATGAATAAATAGTTCAAGTGTTCTCTGAAAAATGAGATCTAAGCGAGACCTCCATCTACCGTGGTTCGGAGGGGGTACACTTTCCATGGGAGCCCTAGGACTGTTCTTTTTTCTGTCTTGGAATCCCAGTAATGAATGGAATCATAGGTTTTCGACCACGCTCAATCTCGGCGTAATGTTCATTATTCGAAAAAATTCAAAAATCTAGTGAAAGTCTATATTGGATGGAATAACACCACACTTTTGGCTATTTTCATTAAAAATAAAAAAATCCATAACTCACTCAGAATCTCTTCAGACTACTTCACAATATCAAGATATACTCTGTTTTATCTGAAATACACCACGGAGTTCAGTAAATATTTTAAAATCCACAGGACATAGTTTGGTTTTGAAAACATTTTCAAGAAACCTTTAGAAGAGAATATTTTTTATTGATCTTAAGTACATAGTCAAGTTGATTGGATAAAACAGAGTATATCTTGATATTGTGAAGTAGTCTGGAGAGATTCTGAGTGAGTTATGGATTTTTTTATTTTTAATGAAAATAGCCAAAAGTGTGGTGTTATTCCATCCAATATAGACTTTCACTAGATTTTTGAATTTTTTCGAATAATGAACATTACACCGAGATTGAGCTTGGTCGAAAACCTATGATTCCATTCATTACTGGGATTCCAAGACAGAAAAAAGAACAGTCCTAGGGCTCCCATGGAAAGTGTACCCCCTCCGAACCACGGTAGATGGAGGTCTCACTTAGATCTCATTTTTCAGAGAACACTTGAACTATTTATTCATAAAAAAAAACAATATGCTGCCAGTTTAACTTTTCAAGTTATGAATCAGTTTTCTAAAGATTCTCTAGAAAACCGAAAATTCAAAAAATGTTTCCAAATATTTTTCGCTTATGTGAAGATGCTCTAAAGTCTTGGCTGTCGAATGGCGAAAACCGCAGATCTCTAGCTCTTTTCATTCAAAAGTTATTGAAAGAATATCCAAGCTTTTTCTACTTTGTTATGGATAATAGCTGTATTATTTCATTTAACCATTTTCTATATGATACACTACCACAATAGACCCTTTCTCTACACTGCAAACTTTTATTTCTCAAAAAAAACTTTATAAAGTTTCTTCATATTCTGAGTTTAGTTAGGCTATAGATTGTTGCAGTCATAATTTTTTTCAATTTTTATGTAACAAATGTGCCAATTTTTTGTTTATATACAAACCTGTGTCTTTCGAAAATCTTTTTCTTTTTCTTTGCTAGTTTTTTTAGCTTCATTAGCTTTATACGATCTCAGTTCATATTTGATTTCCATACACGGTTAACTTCTTTTTAAAAAACATCATTAACACACATAAAACATAATTACTATAAATATTATTAGGCGAATTCATATTGAATTTATAATTGTCTATCGTACTTTTCAGCTGTATTTATCTCACGTGAACGAGCGTCAATCTTTTTGTCATACAATGAATGCATGAGGAGGATGAATTGTGGTTTACCACGTCGTGAAGAATGTTCAGAAGAATGTGCTGATGGTAAGTATGGTAATGAAAAACATTAGAAATCATGAAAATAAAATATGAATTGTATTGTTGTAGGTAATACGGAAGAAGAAATGGAAGAATATACGGAAATATTTGAAAATATTGAAGAATATCGAGCGGATGCTAAACGCAAACATCCAAAGAAATCTGGACATCGACGAGGTAAAGATTCAGACACAGACAGCGATACAGATACGGATACTGATACCGATACGGATACCGATACCGATAGTGATGATTCAGACAGTGACACTGACTCAAATACAGACAGTGATACGGACACTGAATCCGATACAGAAAGCGAAGATGAAGAAGAAGAAGAGGAAGAAGAACAACAAGATAAATTAAAAAAGAAAGCAAAACACCATCAAGTAGTTAACAAGAAAACAGGAAAAAAAGTAGTTAGATCCAAAAAACACTAGACGGTCACACCATAGTCAAAAAAATGATAGCAAATTGAAAACCGGTGCATAAAACAATCTGATGTAACTATTCGGCAAGCTCAATTAAAACTTTGAACTATGGCAATCGAACCGCTCTATAAATAACTTCCATAATAAGTTAGGTTTTTTGCTGGACTTTTTTTTGCATCTACCTTAAATTATCCTGCGCATACTCATCAGTATCTCATTCGCCTTTAATCATCTCTAGCTTCTGGATGAAGCCAAATTTAGTTTGGTAATGGGAAATTTTTTAACTTTTGTTGCATTTTTTTATTTGTTTTGTACTGTTCTTCAAAATTTCAATATTTGTCAAGTTTTTGTTTTCATAAAATACGCATACGCATTACGCGTACAGTAGTATCATCGTAGTATAAAGTATGTTCTTGTCATTCTATTTTTTCATTTTTTTCTCTCTCTTTCTCTCACTCTCCGAACAATAGCGAATCGTTTGTTTTTTGTTCTCTTCAGCCTTAAATAATATATAATAGGATCTTCAGTGTTTTTCGCAAGTTCATATAGCCATTGATTAAATAGATCCGCAGTCAATAGAAAATGTGCTGGGATAACAATGCACAAAAATTATTCAACAGATCGAGTGAATGAGAAAATAAATTTCAGCGTCTACTCGTGAAACAGTCGAGGAATAAAATATTATGTATGACAATTTCTATCTGTCTAATAGATTATGAAAAGTGTCATGTTTCTTCACCATATTGTTGTTCGCCATCGTTATCTAGAAATTCCAAAATTATCTGCATGAGGATATCAGTAATAATTAGTCTAATGAAGGGTATCATAGGATCAGAATGTCCCGTTTCTAATCATTTTTTCTTAACCTGAAGACAAAAATACTCGATTCGATTTTCTTATCTTAAACAAACGAACTAAACAGCCCCACGTTATTACGATATCTTTAATGTTTATAATTTCCTCATTCATAGTAATTTGCAGAGTTCGAACGCTGTGTCAGAGTTGCAGTTGATGACTAGTAACTGTGTGGAAGACTATGTTCAAAGCTTGACATCTGCTGGGAGGATATCGAACTATTGAAACTGACAATGGTCACCATCCTATACAGGTAACGGTAGCTGCAAGCTAGGGTATTCTTCTTCCGCTTCAGATTTAGTGCACACTATTTTTACATATTAAGACGATAATTTGTAGAAAATAGTAGTATAGTCTCAATGATCAGATTTAGTAAGGATATTGATGACTGTAGGACTCATAAATTTATTTACCTTCTGCAAATTGTCGATCAACTTCAGTGTCTTCATTGCCGTCAGATAATTCTACATCTGCATTGTAATGTGTGTTAGGATTGTTAACATCTAATGATAAAATCCGATTACGTTATTCATGACCAAAAGATATATTACAGCGTTAATAATGAATAAACTAATCGCAGTTAGCGACCATATATACAGAGTAAATTCGTATCATCGTCTAATTTTCGTTGTTGTTGAGCAATTCAATATTAGAAAAACAATGACGATCAGAGATGGGCAAGTAAGAGGTGTCTCGAGTCAAGTCATTAGTCATGAAACAAATTCCCTAATCAAGTCAGAGCTGTTTCCAACTCAAGTTCAGTCAAGGTTCAAGTCGTTTTTCTTCAAGTTCTTTCTTCTTGCAAACGCTCTAAATTCAATGTTTCCATTCCTTATGAAAGACAAATGAGTTCCTGCCCAGTACAATAATAATAAAACGTCTGACAAGACAGAAGAAACAGCTTGATCTAGCTTCACATAAAAGTGAAAAAAAAACGCGCGAAGTAACAGAAAATATCACTATCCCAGATCACAATTACACTTCAATAATGTCAGTTGTTTAAGAATTTTTTGCTTTATTCGAGCTCGATAAAGTCGAAAGCCTAACCTTTTGCTTTCACCGCAACACGTCTGCAATCTACTAAAACATCTCTAATTCTTTTATGGCTATCATTTAAGTAGTCAGTAAAATGGATGAAATGGTCAGTAAATGAAATAAAAGGTGATCAAATTTGTATTTTTTTAATGTTAATTATATATAATAAACTGACCATTTCACAGTTAATTACCAATCATTTTAGTACTGATCATTCAATATTTATACTGATCATTTATATATGTTTTTACTGGCCATTTCATCTATTTTACTGACCAAATATTATGTTCCCATTCTTTATTTCAGTAGTTAATTATAATTTAGAGATAAAATTGAAAAGCGCATAAAGCACTTAACCATGTATACTATTTTGACTTGAAACTGACTTAGCCTATAAGACCAAGTGACAAGTCAAGTATTTTGAAACAAATTCCCTAGTCAAGTCAAAAAAAGACCTAACTTGCCCATCTCTGGTCAATGATGGCATATCGCAAGCTCAAAAATGGTGTTTTAGTAGCAGCTACTTTTTCGTATTTTATGATCTTAAGTACAATAGGCATTTTATGTTATCGAGAAAAAATGAACTGATTTTGATACAATTCGAATATTTATCTGTTTTTCTTAACTATAATTTAATTTCTCATCGGGATCAGTGTGATCACACCACATTCTTAACTTCGATTAAAAGTAATTGTGGTCACAAATTTGTTAATCACAATTAACTTTATGTAAAATTAATTTTAATCATAATTAACGCTGGGAGTATCCGCAGTGATATTGAGCATCATACCTGGAATTACGTCTAGTTTTTGAAGAGCATCTTGTTCTAAAATATATGCAATGAATTAATTTGACAATAGGATAAAAGAAAAAAAGAAAATGAATAAAATAATGTGCAATTTTTGTAGCAAATTTTTTATACCTTCTTGAACATTTAACTGTTTGCGCTTATATTTATCCAATAGTTCTGTAAAATGACTTAAGATTCTTAAGGACTCAGCAACATTAATTAAAATCTTACAAACCTTGAACTCTCTCTAAATCCGCTTGTTCTTCATCAGCAATGTTTGCTTGTTCATTTTCGATAGCTGTTACATCTCTTGCTATCCATCGATATTGTATTTGAGGTGGTGCATCTGTATCATCATCTGGATTCTATATTAAATGTCAAATACTCTCATAGCTATAAAATGAGCTTGTAGAAAATACGCACGTTTGAAGTCACATGATACCTATGTATGAACAAAAAAAACTTTTATTCTACGAGAAGTATTGTAGCTAATAAATTCTTACTCTCCGTTCTGTTGTGAACCACTTTTAAAAACAAATTTCCCTTTTCCTCGTGGCTAAAATAAATTTAGGTTTTATTATATAGAATGTGGTGTTTCGTTACGGTAATATTACATAGTTTTCATAAAATTTTCCAACAAATTTATACGAGCCAAATGTCATTTCACCGTTTCCTTGACGTTTCCCGTTGTTCCATGTGCCCGTGTATTGAGCTTCTGTAAAAGAAATAAACAACTTAATGACTTACATATCCATAAGGAACAAAAGTCAACATACTTGTTGCAGCGTACGTGTATGTTCCCTTTCCAGATCTCTGATGATTTTTCCATTCACCTAAAAGTAATTACACTTCATACCTTATATCTTTGCAAGAAAAGTCTCTTACCTTCGTAGGTATCATTATTTGGATACGAATATTTGCCGTATCCTTCGCGAACATTTTCATTCCATTCTCCTAGATATAAAAATCAGAAAAGTAGTGGCTACAGTAAAGTAGCATCTTGTAATTTACCTTCATATTTTGATCCATCCGGATAAATGAAGGTACCTTTCCCATGTCTAAAAAATAAAAATTAGTTTTGATGCTTGCTGCTAGGTTGTAACAGACTTCGGTTATTGACCTTTTATTTCTCACATAATCTCCAATGTATCTTGCTCCATTATTAAATCTATAAAGTTAAAAGTGAATGCATTTTCAGTAATATTCAAATCAAATAGAAATTACTTTCTTCTCTCTTACCTATAGGTACCGGTACCATGGCGTTTTCCATTTTGATACTGTCCCTCGTAGGTATCTCCGTTCGGCAGTTTCGCTTTGCCAAATCCATGCCGTTCATTTTTCTCATTTCGTTCTCCTTCATACGACTAAAATACAACAAGATACAAAAACTTACAACCGTCCTCATCCAACACTGGAAAACACTTACTCCTAGATTATTTGTATTCTCTTCTTCATCTATTTCCTCCTCATCATCTGCCATTGCAGAAAAATGAAAGTTTTCTCTTTAAACAGATTTCTTAAAGCGGGCTAACGGTTTACGCAACGACATCATCTTATAGTTACTTTTCAAAAGTCCATTGAATAACGTTCCTTGGAAACCGGTTACTATAGTTTCAATCTTCTATGTCAACACTCCCTTTCTATACATTTCATAAAATTCTGCTAATAAAATTTAAAAAATTGCTACCCGAACATATAAATTTATTCAAAATGCATAAAGAACTCGTATATTACACGTTAAATGAATAACCAATTGCGAAGAACTAGTAAAAGGTTGAGGTGGCTGGCATAGCCGAGTAACTCTATCATGTCGGCGAGTAATGAGTTCAGCGGTACGTTAACTAGTGCTTAATCTCTGTTTTAGTACTAATTCTATTTAATGATCACTGCAATTCATGTCAGTCTTCAATTGCTTATCAAAGCTTTATCATCAGAGCTCTTGACAAAAGTTAACTTCGTGGCTTTGAAATTACAAATATTCATCTTAAGTCAAATAACAGAAAAGTTCTCTTATAGAAGAACGCCAAAAGTGAACATGCTCTTGGAAAATGAGAAATCCATGATAAAATGTAAAGATATTAGTTCAGTAGAACATTAAGAAGAAAATAATGCTTCTTTTGTAAAAGCAAAGGAGAGTTTTCCACATTTTTAACTATTGTTCAAAAAAGAGTCTCTTCGATAGTGTTTTTAGTAAACTGTGGATCCATGGTCTACCACTGAATTTTCGATATTTTCCCAGCTAAAGTTAGAGGTACATACAATTATCGGAGGATAGTGCATACTCTGTTTCAACGAGTGCAATCTATCCGGGTCCTCAGCCAGTGTTTTCGATATAACTTTGGCAAGATGGGGGAAGTTTTATGGAGCAACTCTAAAAATTTAGCTGATAACTAAAAAAGAAGAGCTTTTAACTTTTCGGAGTAATTTATTTTTAGCAGGAGTCAATTTTTTAAAATGAACGGAGTAATTATTTCAAATAGGGTGGGGGGAATTGTCCCACCTAATCGAAATCGCTGTCCTCAGCACTAGATTGTAATGTAATAATGGTAACAAGCTTACTGCTTCTCTCGGTTATTTGTTGTCATGGCTCATTCTGATGCAATGTAATTTTCACTAATCTCGCTTTTCCCTTTAGACCTTCATACCACCGGTAGCTGCGAATGCGCAACTGGCTCTTGCACCTCCTTACATTTTCGTCATTGTTCTATGTTGTCTACTTTTCATACTTATTCTAATAATTGTTATTCGAGAAACTCTTTTGGTAAGTTAAAACAATTGTAATGGTTATCAAAGTCTAAAAGTAATACAATTATATTTTTTCTGTATTTAGTTTCGTGGTTTATTGTTGAAGGATGGTTGTAGTTGTGAGAATTGTTGTGCATGTGGAGAATGCTGTTTGGCATGTGCTGAAACATGTAATTGTTGTAATACAACGTCAGTTGAATCATGTTTGGATGCGTGTTGTCCGAAACGTGGAAATGTCGATTTTGCTGATATAATCACGTGTGAAGCCTGCTGTAGTGGTCAGTGTTGTGAAGTGAGTCGTCTATTTGTCTCGATGACTAGCATACGTTAGCACATTTGTCTTTTTTTGTTTTAGTGTGGTGGAACAGCGTGTATTTGTGCGCCCACAGATGTTAGTAATGTGAATTGTTTATGCTGTGCATTTGAACAAGAAAGACCTAGACCAGATACAAATGAATAAAGAAACAAGTAATTCAACAATAGATGGCTATAAAACCTCGTTAAATGTAACAGTGATTTAGAAATACGCGATCTCATGCAAGTAGTAACAGTAAAAAACTTTTTTAAGTTATTTTTATATTTGTATAGAAAACTTTGCATTTTGTTAATGGTTTAATTCAGTATTTCGGGAATATCATTTGTACAGACGTTGTTTACCGTCTCACTCATTTACTTTTGTTTCATAAGTGTTGGTTTTTCTAAAATTTTGTTATTAACTTTATTAGTGGTTTTTTGTTTTATTCTATTAATAAACTGCGCAGATAGTGGCTTACCTTGAATCGATCAGTACATATTACTTGTGTTCATTTGACTCAATCTACTGAAATTTACCAGCTTTCGGTTATTACTGGACTGATCTAGCAGAAACTTTTAGAGAATGTTGGTTGGGAAGGTATAGTTACGATAAAGTTTTCGAGGCGCTCTCTATCAATTTTGAGATGTCGCTAAACGGGATGCAACAAGATGCTAAAAGTTCTTCCTTATTTTGAGTGATGCAGAGCTCGCGGGCTTCTTACAATGACGGAAACACACGTAGATATAGACTAATCGAGAACGGTTTTTGATATTTTGCTTGATGATATTACGGAAGCAATGAAAAGTCAAAGTTTTGACACGACGCTCTGGCTGTGTCCAAAATATATTTTTATAGGTTATTTATTATAAATAAAATAAAATGAGGCAGAATGAACCAGAGCTTACCATTAGTGGGTGTTGTTGTATATTGTTTTAATGACTAAAAATATTTATTTGAAAGTCAAGTCTGCAGACAATTTTTATGCATTGTGCGTACCAGTCCGATACGGATTCATATATACATATATATTATTAGAATTTTTGGCAGTGCTTGTTAGATTTTGTTTATCATAGCAAGCGACGATGTACACCAGTTATTTGCATACACTCAGAATGTCGTAGCGTTTTGTTAGTCTTATTATTTCTTACTAGAGCATTATTTGTTATTATTTTAGTCTATAGAGATTCCTATGGAATTCATTAAAAAAAATATTTATATACTGTGGAAAATCAAAGGATTTTGTTTAAATTTGTCATGCGGTTACATTAGTATTAGTAGTCACTTTTTTGTAATTTGAAATAATTACGAGTTGCGTTAGAAGATGTTAATAATGCCCAAACGAATTCTGAGTGTCGTAGAACAATGACCGTGAAATTTTTCTTTCAATCTGACATCCATAATGACAATTTCATTTGAGAATAATGATATAATTTATGGATCAGTAAATTCTTCTCTGTATATTTTAGCTGATTATAACGATTAATCTTCGCTTTTCTATAATTGATGCGTATGATTTTAAGAATGATGAAACAAGTTGTTGTATTTCCTACAACCTTTAGTATTATTACCGTCGACTGTGAATATGAATAAGACGTTGCATCATCAAGGTCGAGAAATGAATGACAGATGTTCTGACACACGATCGGAAGTGTGTTCATGTGCGGTTGTGTGTGTACACACTGTATGTATATGCTTGGGCGTTGTACTTTTTCGTGTTAATGTGTGACAAAGCTTTGTTTGTATGCGCGTTAACGTGCATTTCTACATTGTATCGTTGTGTAATCGTATGCCAATGTGTAAAAATGTTCATAAAAAGATCGTGAAAATACTGCTAGTTAATCGACTTGAAAAACTAAGATGAATAGAGTACGATTAAACTTTCCCATCTTTGACAATAGAGTATTTCTATGATCAAGCGGACTCGGCCAGCAGATCACTGGTTGATAAAATCTTCTCAGTTGATAGTAAAGGAATCGTCTTTCGACCCAAATCCTTCAGTACTTTAACTTAACAACATTACGGAAAAGTTTTTATGTTTATTTTTGTCGAATATTATTGCTTGACCAACCAAAATATCGATATGACTGTTAGAAAGTTTTGTGCCATTGTTATTCTCTCACTGGTCTCTCGTTCTTATGGAAGCGAACTACCATCTGTTTTTTCAAATAGTAGTGGTGGTCATTTTTGAATAGTTTTTTGATTGATGATAGATAGGTTTTCACTATTTTGTAGCCAAGACTTCACAAGAGCATCTTATGATATATCAGAACATCTGAAACTCGGATTTCCAGATAGTGCATCTTACGAATAAAAAAAATATGAGATCGCCATTCTTTCAGTTGACATACCTATGTCTGAAATAATATGTATAAGGTGGTCTCGAGTGTTCGTTATAATTCTGTACAAGTTGACTTCTTTATCTATCATGGTTTGGGAGGGGAACGGATTTTTCTGAGACCGGTATTTCTGATTATTCTTAAGTGGTAGCAATTTGAAAAACAAATGAAATCATTGGTTATTAAACACGCTCTATCTTATGGCAATGTTTGTTTTGAATTTTGAAAATGTTTTCTTATGAGAAACTTAAACCTAGAAGATCAATCGATCCAAACAATATTTAACAACGCTTGGAGAGCAGAAAAGGTTTTCGTTTTTTAAACAGTCAACACAAATAAACGTATTAGTATAAACAAATGAAAGGAAAATAAAGATATGTGTTATCAAATCATTTACTTTGTTTTATTTATTATCTTCTTCGTCATCTAATAAACGAACCATGAGATATATCTAATATATTAATTAAACGATCATCAACATTATTTAATGATATTTTTATCCCATCTTGTATTTATATATAACGAAGAACAAGGTGTATCCAGTATATTCATCTATAAACGAATAGAATGATCTTGACCGTTTTTTTGATAGTGCATCGAATTTTTAAATGACTAATACTGTCACTTGAGTTTTGAATAATAATATAAAAGTCAGTACTTTTGTTTCAAAGAACATGATGATACCACAATCTTAAAAAACTAAGACGGATTCTGGCATTCGTAAGTATGCAACACGTATTTCCGTTTCGCATTGAAAGTATGAAATCCTTTTTGCTTTTAAAACCCTACAATATATGAAAAAACGGATAAGTATTCATTACTCTTATCTATATCCTTATGATATTTTAAATACGCCCGACCACATCGGAAAGGGTATTTCAAAGAAATTTTGCGTTTTACAAAATCAAACTACGTTTTATATAGTTTCAAATACAAAACCCCTTGAAACACTATTTTTCGATATTTCAAAGTACGTTTCAGGCTTTTGTGCGAGTTAACAAGTTCAGATTTGGTTTTTGTATTTTTAACTTGAAAAATATCTTGTCATGAAAAGTATAATGAATTCTATCTATTTCATGATCAGTTAAGCTTCAGAACTATTACATCATTCATAAACAATTAATTCATTATACCTTAATCAATTTTACACTTTGTTTCTTTATTGGGTATTGTCCAAAACTATTTCCTCTCTTTTTTCGAAACATACCTGTGCTATAAGATTGTCTGACATGTCACATCATTATTGTGTTTGCGTATGTGTAATATTATCTTTATACCCTAGAGCAAACGTGTGAACTAAAACTCTACTTTGTTCGAAATAATTACGTGAGAAAATTGATTTTAATTGTTCCAGATTGACTTGACTGACCGGATATTCAAACTAGAATTTCTCTTCTAGTATAAAATATCTGTTAATTTTCTGAAATGAACCGTTAGGTCCTAGATTTTCGCTACTCAATTGACGATTGGTATTTTTAACACGCAAACGTTGTTTAAAAATATATCATTTTGGCTGCTTAATAGTTCATCATCCAACTCGTTATTTAATCTACTAAAGTAGTGATTGGCTTCAAAATCTCACGTCATCGTTTCTTTTTCTTTACGCAACCTAAAAATTGATTCTAAACAAAGGTCCCAGATCATGAATCTTCTCATTTTTGAAATTAGAATGATTCTAAACAAAAAACTGTGATTATTTATTGTATTAATCGTTTGATTTCTCAGAGGATAAAACAAATCATTGTTCTCTCGTGCAATCTTCTGAAAAGATATAAACTTTATATTAAACGAAAGAAGAAAATTAGTTCACGCCAGAAATGATCCAGTAAACAATTGATTCTATTTAAAACGTCTCATAAATGAATAATGGTCAAAACTTTTCTGAGAATACTATTGATATGGCCACTTTAGCACTGTTGTTTTCTTTGCTATTCTGCCATCTGTAAGATTATGTATAAATTGATATGTCTATCACATACATTTACTGTTCGACACCCACTTTTTCCATTTGATCGCAACGGTATTTTAATTAAAATAAAAAAAACACTTGAATCAATGTGTTGATTATACACTTAACGAAAAAAGCGATAACTTAGTTGACTGGACAATGTTAAAGAATTAAAATCGGTATTTTTTCTTCTTCTTCTTCTGATAATACGTACTATTATCGTTTATTCTCCAGAAAAAAAAGTCATTATCGATACGGGTTTAAATTACAAAGACTTCGATGTACAATCTATATAATTACAGGACAGGTGTGTATGCATGTTGTCAAAGAAGCTAAATACATAATTAAAATATTATAGACATGGGCACTTTTGATTATTAAAGAAAAATTACTGTTCATGACAGTTCGAAAGCGTCTAATTTAAAATAGACAGTTTTTGTGCTATCACTCACTTATACTGTAACTGAATACGTTCTATGTAGGAAATATAGCCATATTTATTTGATCACGTCTACTGAAAACTATATGCTGATCTGGACAATGGAATTAGAAACAATTGATTGTTAAAATTTTAAAGGACATTGCCTTTATCTACACAATTTAGTCAATATTAAGCGTTTCTATATTATGAAGTTTAACCGCTATAGTATGGATTGGTGTCGAGTTATGCAACTATTTTTATTTTTTTTTAGCCCTGATCTACAAACATAGTTCATGTTTTACATATTATTAGATAATACTTAATTGTTCTATGAAATCACATATATTATCCTCCTTATCTACAAATCTTTTTCCCTTTTTTTTTTGAAAAAAATCTCCTTTACTATCATCATCACGTATTGTCATACAATAGAATACATGCATAGAGATACAGTCTCTTG